CCCCAAAACCCCAAAACCCCAAAACCCCAAAACCCCAAAACCCCAAAACCCCAGAAGTAGAGGGATAATAGTAAATAAGCATGGGGTTAATAAAACTAGATCTTATAATGGGGTTACTGAGCCGAACTCAGAGAATTATTAAATATGTCATCATACTGGTCCCTACTATCCATTTTGACAATCTTTGGTGACCTAACACTCAGAAATTCGTTGCTGTTTGCACGGAAGTTATTGTCTATTTTTGGTAAACAATGAAAATGTTAATAAATACCTGAACCCGTCGGAATTCTAAAAATATCGTTTGTATTTTCCCCTTTTTGAGAGTCTTCAAACATTTCACGAAAATTATTGGGATCAGTGAACTCAAAGTAGGAAGGATCCTTTTTCATACCAAGCTTTTTAGGAGCCTCTTTGTATTCTAGAAATTATACCTAACATTACCATCTCTTCTAGGAGGAAAAACTTGGTTAATTTTCGAAGTGAAGTCATCATCAGTAACCGGGTCAATATCGTGACACCCAGTATCGGCATGATCTTGGGTCCGATAATTAGACATTATTTTAGGCTTCCAACTTTCTTTGTGAGAAGAATTTTTGTTCAGATCCTTCACTTTGTCTTTAATTTGGTTAGCTGTCCTGGTCTTCATCTTATTTTGAAATTTGTGCCCATTTATTTCCAAACTCCCGGTGATATTTTCGTAATTGCTCAACCTCTTCGAGGGACCATCTGCCTTGGTTTACTTTAGCTTGAGTACTTATTTTGGCGATTCTCATTCTTCACTCTCGTCCATCTCGACTGTGAAGAAATGTAGCTATCTTCTTCCAGTTATCTGGATACTTATCGTACAGGCTTAATAGTTTTTGATCCTCGGCTGCCTTCCAAGGAGGAATCCGAGCAGGCTGATCTTGCCTTAAAGTTTTGATTTCTCTTGAGTTGATTACAACAGTCTCTGTTTTAAGAGGGGCACAGTAGGAGTCCTCAAATTCAATTTGACATACATCTCTAGAGGTGGGAAACTTCTCATCAGGATGTCTTTGCCTGACCTGAGTAGATAGGGCTTTCAGACTTTCTTCTCGTCAGAAGTCATCCCGCTGCTGGAGGACCTCTTCATGACCCTCAAAGGCTGTGTTTGTTGAGTATTTAACTTTATTGGCTATCTTATTCTTCAGTTTTGGCTTGTACGCCGATTCATAATTCTTGTAATTTATGATTACGATATTAGAACTTTTTCAATCTTTAATTTTTCTTTCTTTATTATTTTCATGAAGAAATTGGGGGATTTTACTAGTCTTGGTTGGTACAACTGACCTGTTCGAACAAACCGCAGGACCAAACTTTCCAGCAATAGTGGTCTTTAGAGAAGCCATTGGTATTATCTTTTTGTTGCGTACTAAGGATGGAGTCTTTTTTCGATTTTTAAAAGAAGATAGGAAATGCTTATAGTACTCAATTTTCTCCTGGCTTTCCTCTCTGGACATATTGGAGAACTTTTTATTACTGAAATAGTTCTTATTTCGGCTTTCAAAATTTCTGATAGAACCTCTCTGTTTGAGCCTATTCTTCTGAGGTGGATTCACAACATCTTGGTAATCAGAGTTCATCTTTATAGAATTTTCTTGGCAAAATAATTAAATGAGTTCTCAATATTTCAGATGAATATTGGGGTTTTGGGGTTTTGGGGTTTTGGGG